TACTTCTGCGAACAGGATTTGTAGCAATCGTCTATATGGGCCGATTATTATTAATAGGAATTAATAGGAATTAATAGTCTGTAGATACAGTTGGATATTTAGGAAACAATTGATTATGGAAATCTCTTCCACTGTTGATCGGAGTATCAAACTTTATTACTCACAATCAGAGGCTTACGTCTGCCGACAATACCCATGGCTGATTATCGTCCCTCAGAGATTGTTGATATTCTCCTTGTTCTCGGAGAATGTCAACTAAATTATCATGAAGCTTCGCGAGTTTACCGGAATCGTTACCCCGAAAGAGAACAACATCCGAATCATACTACAATCCGGGACCTCGAACTAAGAGTTCGCCAAGGCCGTTTAGGACGTCAAAGAGCACATCATGAGTATGATAAAGATGATGTGCGTGTGCACGTTATCTTGGCATTCATTCATCTTAATCCTCATACAAGTAGTCGTATTATGGCTAGAGAAATTGGTATCCCGAGAACAACGATCTTAAGAATTTTGAAGAAAATGAAGTACCGTCCTTACCATATCACGTTAACACAAGCTCTTACTCAAGCAGATATGCCGTTGCGTGTAAAATTTTGTCAATGGGCACAACAGATGATCCGAGCTGATCCGAATTTCTTCTATTATGTTATGTTCTCTGATGACGTTCAAAAATAATGATGAATTGAATAGACATAATTGCCATTATTGGTCGGATGTTAACCCACATTGGCATAGACAAGAAGATAATCAACATCGCTGGAGTGTGAATGTTTGGTGTGGTATTATAAATGGTTTCTTGATTGGTCCTTATTTTTTTGAAGGAAATGTTAATAGTAAATTTTTTAAATAGTAAATGTTTTAAATAGTAAATGTTTTAAATAGTAAATTTTGTTAATAGTAAGTGTTAATAGTAAATTTTTTGGAACTGCTCAGGGATCATTTACCACAATTGCTTGAAGACGTTGATTTTCATACATGTCAAAGAATGTGGATACAAATGAACGGGGCGCCACCTCATTATGCGGCAATAGTGAGAGCTTATCTACATCGAGAATACAATGGCAGATGGATTGGGCGACGAGGGGCCATCGCATGGCCTCCACGATCACCTGATCTGACTTCACCTGATTTTTATTTATAAGGGTATATTAAAAATGTGGTTTATGAGCATGCGCCTACAACTAGAGAAGATATGATAGAGAGAATAAGAGTAGCTTGCGCAAATATACCGCGAGCTGTCTTACTCAAAACGGTCAGGCACTTCGAAAATAGGTTGGAATTATGTATTCAAGCCAATGGAGATAATTTTGAACAATTCCTTTGATAAAGATCTTGCCTTCACTGGTTGGATCATGTCTAGATCTTGCCTTCACTGGTTGGATCATGTCCAGATCTTGCCTT